ACAACATAAATGATATATTTTATAAAACCTTCAATTTATAAAGAAAATCTTGCAGTTGAAAATTTTAGGTTAAGTCACGTTAACTCTTCACAACTAGAAAGCCCTTGTAGAAATTTAGCTATGGAAAGCCCAATTATTGTATTGCTTGAATTTCCATTAAAATAACATTAATCAGCACAGTTCAGAAACTATTTTTGGAGTGATGTATTTAATCAGTGGAGTAGTGTATCAAGATTTGCCCTAAGTTTATTCAGAGAAGTTGAAAATAAGTGAAACTCTGCCCTAAGACAAATTTACAAAACTTAAAATATAGCAGTGTAGATTTTATCAGGCTAAGAGTTAACAGCTGCTGTGTATTAAATTCTAATTTGTTGAAAGTGAGATATGATTTAAAGGTAACAGAGATCCCTCTTTTGATATCACTTGACTGTCTTGCAGGTTAAACTGAGGAATTAAACAAAGAGCTAAGTATTGTTAATTGTGCACATTAGGCCTTTGATAAACCATATTGATAACTAAAATCACTGCCAATATTTGTAATTTTCTTATTGAGCAGCTAGAAGCATGCGTTTTCTAGAATGGATCTCAGCATTCACCAGGGAAGGGCGAACCATGATGTTCTTACAGTGGGTCCCCTGATGCTGCATAGGAAGATCTGAAACAAAATGGTGTGCTCTTCAAATGGATTGTGCTTCTTCTTGCATCACTGCCAGGAAGGCTTGAGGCCTCAGGAAAGCAATCAGCAGAGTTCCTGGCTCAGGGACCCAGGAAGCTGCCCAGCCCTGGGAAGCTGTGCCCTGCTGGCTGCCTTTAAATGAAGAGCACTTTGCTTTGCTTCTGCCTTTCTGCCTAAGCTCCACCCTGAAAAGCCCAAGATTCTTTAGAAGAATTAAGAAAAAACAGATTGATCCCTCCTTGGGCAGTAGTTCTGTGAAATAGATTAAGAAATAGCCGTGCTTATGCCAGCAGGCAACAACAACTAAACCCCAACAAAATTCACAAGCTGAAACCTCAGAACAAAGGCTAAGTACAGTGACTGTGGGAATCATTGTCTTTACTCAGCCACTGAGTGCTGCATGGGAGGAGCACAGAAACCTTCCCCTAGAGAAAGCAGGACAGTAACTAGAAGGAACACTGGGAGAATGATAATGTAAAGACTAGGAAAACCTGAATGCTGAACTGCTAGAAAACACCACAGGCAGTACCCTACATGATACAGGTAAGGAAAGGATTCTGAATAGGATTCCGTGTACCCACAAATTAATATCAATAATTATCAAGTGGGACCCTATAAAACTAAACAGCTTCTGTACCGCTGAGAAAGCAAACAACCCAAGAATAGAAAACCTACAGAGTGGGGGAGAATATTTGTCAGCTACGTATCTGACAGAAGATTAATATCCAGAATAAATATGCAATTAACTCAAAAAAGAGTCAAGAAAACAAAACACCCAATTTTAAAAAAGGGGGGTTATAGAACTAAACAGAAAGCTGTGAAGTTAAATAAATAAATAAAGTTGGCTAAAAAACATCTCAAAAAGTATTTATTTCCTTAGCAATTAGGGAAATGCAGATTAAAATAATATTGAGATTTGGCCTGACCTCAATCGGAATGGGTGAAAAGAACAAAACAACATTTGACAACAAGTGCTTGGGAAGATGTGAAGAAAGAGGAGCCCTCATTCACTGTTGATGCCATTGCAAACTGATGCAGCCCCTTGGGAAATCAGTATGGAGAATCCTCAAAAAACTAAAAAGAAATCTCCCACATGACCCAGATACACCACTCCTTGGCCTATGTCCAAAGGACTCAACATCCGACTCCAACAAACATTTGCTCAGCGATGTTCATAGCTGCTCTATTCACAGTAGCTAGGAAAAGGAAACAATCTAAATGTCCTTCAACAGATGGGTAGATAATGAAAATGTGGGGCATACACAAAATATAATGCTACTTTGTCTTGGTCAACGTTCTATTCCTGTGAAGAGAAACTGTGACCAAGGCAATTCTTATAAAGGAAAACATTTAATTGGGACTTACAGTTTCAGAGGTTTAGACCATTATAAGCTGTAGTGGGTAGCCATTCCAGCTTGGATCTGGAAGTTCAAACCCCCATTGAGACTCTGGCAACTGTCACGCCTACGAGGTGGGGCCAGGGGAGGCGCCTGGAGACCCAAGAGCTGGATGGGCCAGCGCTCTCTCTGTGCCGGGACCCTGAGCCGTGGAGGTGAACCAAGCAGAGTTCCAGAGAATACCGCTAGACTGCAATACACCTTCCCCAGACCCTGCGACCTACCTATCACTTAATTTGTGAGTTACACCATTAAATAAATATCCTTTTAACTACGTGGAGTGGCCATAATAATTTCACCAATAATAAGCAGTGGTGGGAAGGAAGCATGGTAGTATTCAGACAGACATAGTACTGGAGAAGGAGCTGAGATTCTACAGCCAGATACACAAACAACAGGAAGAGAAGACCACTGGGCCTGGCTTGACCTTCTGAAACCTCAAAGCCCATCATCATCAGTGACACAATTCCTCCAACAAGGCCACACCTACTTGAAACAATAGTGCCACTCCCTAAACATTCAAATACATGAACCTATGGGGGTTATTCTTATTTATACCACTGCATACTTAGTTGTAAAGAAAAATGAAACCATAGACTTCACAGGTAAATGGAGGGAAAGTTTTAGAAAATATTATACTGAGCAAGGTAACACAGACACAGAAAAATAAATGTTACAGGTTCTCTTTTATTTATGAATCTTAGCTCCACATATTTATATACGAATATACAACCCGAAGTAACTGCAAATACCTTGAAAGTAAAAAGAGACCATAAGGGTGGGAAGAGGAGGAGCTCTAGAGAGGGGAAAAAGCAAGAGATAGGCTCTAAGAGTGAGAAAATGGAAAAAACAGAGTCGAGGGTGGAGTGGGAGGAAGACTTTTCCTGAGAGAGAGAGGGGAAGATAATGCAGAGGGAATGGAAGGGAGGGAGAAGGGATAAACTACACTATGGATATTTTATACAGACATAAAATCATATTGTTTTGTTTGCTTACAATTACATATATGTGCATATACATACATACATACATATATGTGTAGACAAAATTCTAAATGGTCTTATTAAATAAGAAACACAGAGCCAAGTACAGAATTAAAAGCCCAATAGATCAGAGCATTAGCAAACAGCCTTTAGCTTACCTCTGGCTGCCGTCCTTCCCCTGAGAGAGAGAGACCTTCTTCCTGTGTCCTGTATTTTTATTGCCTTTCTGTTCTGCCTTCTCATTGGCTCTAAACCCAACCACATGACTTCCTCGTCACTGCCTGTCTATACATACATCCAGGTCTCTATGGTTCGTACTGGGATTAAAGACGTGTGTCACCATGCTTGGCTGTGTCCTTGAACACACAGAGACTCTGCCTGCCATGTGATCGGATTAAGGGCTTGGGCTACCACTGCCAGACTTCTGCTTAATGACCTCTGATCTCCAGGCAACTTTATTTATTAACATACAAATAAAAATCACATTTCAGCACAAATAAAATAACACCATATATATGTGTATATTTTTTAAAGGAAGCTATGATACTTCAGATGACAATGGTCTCCTTAGCAGTGACTGACTATATAACAAAAAAAAAATCATTGTCTAACATGAGAAACTTCCTTTTCATTTGTTGTTTTGGGAAGTCCAAGACATTCCCCAAACAATATCGGCTATTGCTCTTGCCCTTGGTTTCCTGTAAGGTTTTGAAGGTAAAATCCTAATGTTGAAGATAACACACACTGGGGACAGGACTTGGAGGAATCCAGCTTTGACAGACCTAGAAGTATCTTTCCTGAGAAACAGCCCTTTTAGTGGCAGACAGAACTACGCAAGGTGCCAAGGGAGAAAAGCAACAAATGTTCTTACTCAGCTGTAAGCCTAAGAATCATAACAATGACCATCTAGTGACTGATGAGGCAGATTCAGAGACCCATAACCAAACATTGGGCCCTGCTTGGAGAGTCATGCTGAGGAGAGGGAGAAGAGATTGTAGGATACAGGGGGGGTCAAGAATATTAGAGGAAAACCCACAGAAATAAAACACTTGAAAATCACAGCAAAGATTTAATGAACAACCCATTCTTTCAGAATTGATTTGGTAAATAAAGATCCTGGTTTTGAATACACAGCATGATAATTCAAGTACATCAGCGGATTGGACATTAGTCTTCTCTGTTGTTTTATCATTACAAACAACTTTTGCATTATATAGGAATGTTGTCTAGGTTTAGGTAAAGCAGGGTTAGATAATTACATGGAATACTGTGGCCTTTGTTTATATTGACTTTTTAATTTCAGATGTTCCTAAGGCAGGGAGGCAATAAACACATTGGATATTTCAAACATGATGAGTTTTTGTAAAATTTTATTTGCAGAATATCAACTTCCTTCTATGTAGTGAATATAGCAACAACTTGGGAGTAGCCTAAGGATGTTATTATACATCATACATAAATCATACATATTTGAGCAGAAGCTTCTTGTTAGTTATGTTTACCAATATCCTGGATTCAATTATGCAATCCATTATTATTCAACTTGTCCACTAGGGAGAGTGAATACAAGATCACTAAGAAACAGAGATGATATCAGAGTTAGAACAAAGTTTACCTTAAAAATCTTTTCTTGGAGAACCTAAACATTTCATCTACATACTGTTATTGGTTCTTCTGCCATGGCATCCCATGTTGAGCTGGTGCCTACTGTGGAATTAAAGCACAGTTCTAACTGGGAGTTGACAGTCTGGGCTCAACCAGACTATCTGAAAATCCAGACAGCTGCCAAGCTTCACCGAAGGTTAACAGTTGAGTTTTTTTTTAATTGTTTGAGCCTAGTTTAAATGAAAGCAAACCATAACCAGCAAGTCTATATCTACATGCCTTTATATTTTTGCATTTTATTCACATATATTTTTTGCTTATACATATTTAACATGGGAGTCTTAATATGACTTTAATAATGGAATTTGTTATAAATAAAATAAAGGAGAATTGCACATGCAGAATTGACAATAATTTGTGAACTGTCTGAGGAAGCATCCACTGCTTGACGCGAGTTTCTTGTCTTTTGGCTTAGGGATACTTCAGCTATTTTGCTGTAGACATTATGATGCTTTAGTGCGAGCATCACTCTAGAGAAGCCATTCTTTAGATGAAAGGAGCTTCTGATAATTAACAGGCAAACACAAGTCTCTGGAGACAGAAAGATAATACAAATTATTTTAATTATTGAACAATAAAGGGGGGTGTGAGAGAACCAGTTTATAGAATGGTGTTTTGGACCCATTGGCTTCACAGTATGTAGCTTGTATCTTTCAATGTTGCATAGGATATTAGTTCAAGTATTTATTAAGAATAATTGATCTATACTCTGAACATTCTAAAAAGTCTGTGTTGAGATTTGATTCTCAAACTGTACAGCTGACCCATTCCAAGCACATAACTCAGTAGTGTTGGGTATATAACATTTCTGGGTTTTAGAAATTGTAATATTTGTATATACATATGAATACAATAATAATGTGTCACTTTAATCATTTTAAGAATATAACTGTATAGACTGTTTTTTTTTTATTCTCCAGACAGGGTTTCTTTGTGTAACTTTGGAGCCTTTCCTGGAACTAGCTTTGTAGACCAGGCTGGCCTCAAACTCAAAGAGATCCATCAGCCTCTACCTCCCAAGTGCTGGGATTAAAAGTATGCACCACCACGGCCCAGCTAGACTGTCTTGTGGAACCATCACATTTATCTAATTTAAAACATTTTAACATCCCAGCTGAGCCATTAAAAAATCTATCAGTCAGTTATGATTCAGAAAAAGTAATTCACAACCTTATGAAATTATTTTTGAATTATTAATGGAAGGGAATGCCTGCGTCTTCTGTCTATGAGACTGCACAGATATTCCTGTGCACTCAGAGCCTACTCAAGTGTGTTCACATTCACATGGAGACATAGTTGTAAAGCTCATGGTCACATACTTCTCCAGCATGATTATCTCACAGACAAAAGTTCAAATACACATACAGTAGAACATTGACAATAGGCATCCCACTACTAAGGATGCTTGTCTAAATGAGAAAGTGGGTGAGGAAAGAATGAAGCAATGAGCAAGAAGAGTGTCTGCAGCCTCGTGGGAGGTTAAGTTTGTTGATTCTAAAACATCCCCACACTCAATTTGAATGTAATTCTATTCCATTCAACTATTAGTGGCCCTTATATACATTTTAAAAAGTAAAATTCAGGGGAAATGAGAGTCCTGGTTCCAAGTCCATGTGAGCAACAGCCATGCGACTTCTGATGGTCTCTGGCCTAATACTTGGAACCTCATGTCTATGCTGTCAGGAAGCCTAGTCTATATGAAGAGATCATTGGTAGAAGTGTTGGATGAAAGCTTTCACTGAAGTTCTAGCTGACAGTCATCATCTATCTCCAGACATGTAAATGAGGGTGCTGTCAGAAAAACCCCAGCTCTACTGTCTGACCAAGCCTCATGAGAGGTGCTGAGTGATAACTACCTAGATGAGTTATGTCAACTCCCTGAACCATGAGCAACAAGAATAATAAATGATCATGACTTTTTGTACCACAAAATTTCAAACTGTTTGTTATGTAGCATTAGATAACCATAACAGTCAGTGAAATGATCAAGATATGACAGGTGCATGAGCTATATGGAGAGAAATCAGCAGACCAGAAATGAAGGCTCATTCCGTTTTCTAAGAACTCAAAATAAAATTTTCAGAATTATTATTTACTTTTTTTCCTGTTGCAATGATTGAGAAGGAAGAATTTCAAATAAATATAAACTTTAAAATTTCTATACAGAAGAGAGAGATAATGATTTCTGTAAAACAACATGGAAGGACTTTACATTTTGCTATTCCTCTTTTGTTAATAGGGCACAGTTCCTGGCTTTGGAACAAGATTCTCATTTGTCACTTACATTAATAGGAATATCTCATGTTTCATCTAATCCCATTTATTTTTACACATTCATTTAGATATTTTTATACACCTATTCATTAATATGTTTTAAGACATAGTAGTTAATAATATAAAATAATCCTTATATTCAATGAATTTATAAGAAAACTTATGGGAGAGTCAAAGAATTAAACATCAGTAATGACATAGTATGTCAAACTCACTTGGATAATTACAAGTTCTAGGATGCCAAAAGGGTTGTTTAGCTCTTGAGAAAAGGCTTGGATGGTGGCTGTCAGTGACAGGTACTTAGAGGAAGTTCAGGTTATACTAGCTCCTAAGGGAGGGGCCGAGAGCTCACTCGGCGGGGTTTGAGGGCAGAAGAACCAGGTGGCAAAGAGGCTAAAGTCTAGGCAAAGGACAGAATGTTACCCACTAACCCCTCAGTTCCCCAGAGTTTTCTTGAGTATGAGCGGCAGGAAATATTAGATAGAATGATTTAGATTATAGAGACAGAGAGAAAATACAGGATAGCCCCGAGAGGGCCTGGAGCCTATTCCAGTAGACCCTGACTGTCTCTGCCCTAGGGTATTTACAGAAGTGCCAAGGGGTGGAGCAAAAGACCTCCCCTTCCCCAGCACAGCTAAGTGCAGACCATCTCAGACACCTGCACTCAGGCCCATGGTCCAATCATCCTCTCTATGCAGACCTGCTGGGTAAAGCCGTGAGGAACCTGAAAACGGGCTCCCACAAATGTGCACAGATATGGAGGCATACAAATAATACATTCTGGAAACTGTGTCAGTATTGCTGAAGCAGAGATCACAAGGCAGAGGAACAAGGCAGAAAACCATGATTGCCTCTGCCATGTTAATAATTGTATGCTTTATCCCCAGGGATTTGGGAAACCATTGAGTTCCTTTCATGACAAGAGATCACACTGATCAGACGTGACCGTGATGTGGAGAATATATCTGAGGGAGGCAGACTCAATTAGCTTCAGGAAGAACAGATCCTGGGTATGTATTTCAGAGTGCCAAGCCGATGGTGATACCCATGTGGCATTTTGGATCAAATGCCCTCTGTTTTGTGAAAGCAGAGGGTGCTTTGATAAGCTTGCAACAGATTTCAACCACAAACGATCTCTTTTAATGAGAAATGTCTGCCACAGCAGTAACTTATATGAAAACAAAGCTTGGGATGTATGTATCTGTGTCAAATGAATATTCATGCTTCATGAGTCATTCGAACATTTTTATAGAATAACCTTGAATGAAGGGGTCTGAGCATTACTGATTTAAAAATGACAATCCTTGGTATATGAGCCAATGTGGCATAGCAAATTAAAATTTGTTCAGATCTTTTTGAGAGTGATTCCTCCAATTAGAACAGTGTGTATGTGTGAAAACAAGGCCAGCATGCTTTGTATTAAATCACTGCTCAAAAATAGTAATTTGTTTTTAAGCCTCATTGATATGTAAGTGTATGGACATATATGTGTAGTGCATGTATTGCATGATATTGAAGATGCACATGCATATTTATTGATGCATAAATATGGGAAATATGTAAACTGAGGCACTCAACAACAGAATCTGCTTCTAATGCATTCTATGTACATTCAATGAGTAATTAAAATAATTCTTTGCCAAAAGAGTAGCTGATTTGATGGGACAATTGCTTTTTTTTCTGCTAGTAGCAGAACAAATTAACATTACTGTGGGGAATGAAAAGATGCAGTTTGTCGCAATTCATATAATAAATAACCATAGTAGCAGTAGCTATTGTCATTGAGCCAAAATGCTTTAATTTAAATCATTTATACTAATTACCGAAATTGCTAGGGAATCGTTAGGAATAAGTATTTATAGAAGCTGAGAGAGAAATTCAGTGTTGCTATAGACTTCACATTCCTATTCTTGATTTCACTTTATTTTTAAAAGTCATTACAAAGAGAGAACTAAAATTTGAAAAGGAAGGTCAGAAGAATGACAAACAGGACATTACTCCATCAGGCTTAGAGAGAACTTTTTTTTTTTAACTGGGAGAGTAGAAACTTACTATTTTACAAGCCATTTATTGTATTTCTATCTTCAAGATCCAAAATGCTTAATATGTTACTCCAAAGTGAATGAAAATCGGGCAAGAAAACAAGTGGGTTATTTCCTCTGCCATGCACTCTGCCTTCCGTTCATTCCTGCAGGCCGGTTTACATTGACATCATTTCTAAGTGTGTTTATTCAGACTTCCAAAGGCTGCACAAAAGGTTGTCAGACAGTTGTCCTGAAGACAGAGCCAAGACAAATTCTATGTAGCCAGCTGTGGCAGTATTGGTCAGCCTTGGGGAGATCTCCTTGCTAGTCTCAGGTGGTTGAGGATGTCACTTTTCTAGTAAAAGAAACAAATACAATATGAGATCTATGTGATCAGAATCTGAATTTTTATGGTCCCTCAATGACATTGTTTTTAAACTAGAGAGATCTGGGGACTTGTATACTCCTATAACTCTCTTAACAGACAAAATATATGAAACAGAAAAATTGAGTCTCAATGCTGTCCCTTTACTAGTAAGGGAGTTAAAACTAGAATTCACAGTTCTTGAGCCAAGCTGGAAATCCATTTGTGGGACATAAGTCACATTCACAAATTAAATGTGTATAGAAATCAAGTACATCCCATTGTGTCATGCTTGAATTTTTAGATTTAGTTCTCAGAAAATTGGAACATATAAAGTATTGAATATATTCCTTTGAGTTTCATGCTTTGCTTTTTTGATTTTATGTTTTTGCTGTGCTTTCATTATTTTTACTATAGCAGGAATGCAAAAAGAAAATGAAATAATAATGTAACTTAAATACAAAAAAAACATTGCAATCTATAATATATGCCCAATGTGAGATGAGTTTACTCTTGATGCATTAAATTTTGCAAGAATTTCTTTTTATGTATCAGAGATTTAATAAACTTTCTTTTTCTATCTTCCCTTAGATACATTTTTTTTTCTAACATGCTAGTATTCTGTCAGCTGTATCTGAACTAAGAATCTCAAATTTGGTCCAACATACATTCTTATTTAAATAGAAACTGTTGTTTTGATTTTTTGTTTAGTTTAAATTTCAGAATATAATTGACCTCAACCTTCAGAATTCCTGTGAATTAATATATCATACATATAACCTTGGTGATTGGCTCTTTTCTCATTGACCAGGATTTTCTGAGTCCCAGGACAGAACTCTTGTCAAATTCCTCTCTCAGGGGCACATTGGATTTAAAATGAGTTTTATTTGGAGAGGAGGATGTATACATGTGACATGTTTGTATGCATGTATGTCCACATGTGTATGAATGAATACATGTGCAGATCAGATGTTGACACTTGAAAGCTTTCCTCAATTCTTTCCACCTTACTTTTTGAGGCTGAATCTCCTAGTGAAATGGGAGCACTCCATTTAGGCAGGACCAGGTAGTCAACAAGCTCCAAGGATCCTTTGTTTGTTTGTTTGTTTGTTTTTCTTAGAGCTGGAATTAGAGGCATGTATCACCATACTTGGTTTATTTTTATGTGTGTGCTGGGGATCTGACTTCGGTTCCACAATAGTGCTTATGCACAAGGACTTTTTGAGCTGAGTCAGCTCACTACTCATTGAAACAGCTTTTAATAATATATTTTATATAGTTATTTTGACTTTTCCAACAACTCTGACATTTAGAAAGATAGAAATCTTTTTAACATAGTTCTGCAAACTATTTTTCCTCAGTTTTATAGTCAACTGTAATAAGATTATATTATTGAGATTAAGAAAAATATTTAGTCATATCACTTTTGTTTTATTAATAGTTTAAAAAAATGACACTTGGCAGAATAAGCAACTCTATTTGTCCCATGATTGTACATCAAGTTGCTCACTATGTAGTTGGTACATTAGATAGGATTCATTATGCCACAAAACATATTTTATCACATGCTATAAATTACACTATGTAATACTACATACATGTCATTTAACATACATGTCATTTAACATGAGTAGCATAGAGCATACATGAATCTTTGGATTTATTTTTTTATTTTATTTTTTATACAGGAGTCATGTAGCCTAGAGTGTGGTGTGGTCTGTCCTGAAATAATTGCTGATATTCAACCTATTAGACCAAAACTAAAAGATTGCTCCCCTGTTTCTCCTCCTCCTCTTTTTTCCTCTTCTTTTGTTTGAATTGCTATGAATTGGGAAACCTTAAGTCACTGAGAACAGAATTAAGGGTGAGTTAGAATAATTGTGAATTAAATGGTATACATTTAATAGGACAGTTAGTGAACTCATGGACTAGTTAAGTGAATACCCGTGCAACAACAAGGAAGTATGTGAACTGCTCTTGTGGAATAAGCCGTGTGCTGCTGCATTGTGAGCGCTGGGTATATGAAGTGTGCTGAGCACAACAAGTTAGCATTCTCAGTGTAGAGATCCATGAAAATGCATGATCATGAAAACATACACAGGCAGAAATAATTGATAGATTAGGGAATTAAATTTAAACTGTGCTTTCATTCTTGATGCCAAAATGCTCTGAATTACCTGATGAGCTCATACTGCAAATGGATAAGGAAGTAATGCTCCAAGAGTCAATGATATAAAATAAAGTTTATTCTGAAATACAGTCGGGTGCACACTGTGTAACCAGAGCCCTACTTCACAACAATACACCCTACCCTGATACATATATGCTTTGCAAAGTCATATTTTAATTCTTTTATGTCTAAATTTCAGCTATAAGGCTTTATGCCAAGAATAAGCCATCAGCTTGAAGGGAGATAAAAATGAAGGTCACAATCTCTCTATTTTATCTCCTATTATGCCCAACCTAAAACTGGCTCCTGGGATAATGTCTATTTCTGTAAAGATTCTTTTCACTGATCTCTGCCTTATGATTCCTCTAACAGGCAGCACTGGAGAGCATGTAAGAGTCCACCATGCGTGCACAGGGCAGCTCCAGTGGGGTGGGGCTCTCAGAGGCCCCTGCTGCCACTTGAAACCAGGAATTCTAAAGTGCTCATTGAAAGAAACTTCCCCTCCCTCATGCTCTCCCTTAAAACAGGCAAGTCACAACTTGGATTTAATATTCTCTTCCAGGTGGTGAATACTATCTCTTTCCACATGCAATGCTAGTTTAAAACAGATTTAAGAAGCAAGGTCAGTAAATACTTTTGTCATTCTCTGGAAGACTTGCTTTAGACTGATCCCTTCTCTCCACCTCCCTTTCCTAGTGTTTCTATGTAGCTCCACACAGTCACTACTCACTGAAGTGCTCAATGCCACTATTATCAATCAGGAAAGTCTTGAATGTTTCATGTTTATGTATAGATCTCCTCAGCCCAAATCTATCTCTTTCTTCTCGCATATCATATTTTAGTTGTGCATATAGGCATTGAACGGGTGTGCTACTTGACCACTGAACTATCTGCTAATCTGTTTTTCCTAATGACATTCTCATCTCACTGCTGTGGATATCTGGATGCTGTGAATGTGTTGCTATGATTGATTGATAAATAAAATGCTGATTGGCCAGTAGCCAGGCAGGAAGTATAGGCAGGACAAGAGAGAGGAGAATTCTGGAAAGTGGAAGGCTGAGTCAGGAGACGCTACCAGCTGCTGCTGCCATGAGAATCAAGATTTAAGGACACTGGTAAGACACAAGCCACGTGGCAACTTATAGATTAATAGAAATTGGTTAATTTAAGATATAAGGACTAGATAGCAAGAAGCCTGAGCCATTAGGCCAAACAGTTTAAATAACATAAGCATCTCTGTGTGTATTTGGGCTTGAGTGGCAGCAGGCTTGGACGGGACTGGAGATAACTCCAGCTACGTCTCACTTTATCTTCTGCACTCTCTCTCTCTTTGTGCCTCTGATTTTTCTGTTGCATTGTACAAAACCTTCTGTGATTTGAAATTACTTCCAAGAACATCACAGGAGTTTCTTACTCCTTGTCAGCTGTGGTGTTTAAGAGCAAGCCAAATATTTGCTCAGTGTTCTGTGACTACATTCTATGAAACACTTGTAATGGATTCAGCATCATAGAAAAACATCACATCATACTGTTTCATGAGTACAAAATGAAAGAACTTAGTGAGGAATGACTTTCTTCAAAGGTTTTAGAAAATAGTATTTTATAATCAAAAATGTATTATCTGAGTATATATAATTTATAAAAAATGTAGGTATATAAATTGTTCAGTTGGATAATCAATAACATTAGTTTTTTTAACATTTGCTTATTTATTGTGTTCGTATATATGTGCCTGTATTTATGCATGCAATGGAGGGCATATGCAAGACAGAGGACAACTTTCAGTAGTGGGTCCTGTCCCTCTTCTCAGATTGTCAGGCTTGGTGGCAATCACCTTTAGTTGATGAGCCATCTAGCTGGCTACACATATGAAATGTGTTTTAACAGAATATGACAATTGATTTGTTTCACTTTAACTCACTTAACTTCCATGTCTTCTTCTAATGTGTGTGTGTGTGTGTGTGTGTGTGTGTGTGTGTGTGTGTGTGTATGTGTGTGCTATTTATTTATTTATTTATTTATTTATTTATTTATTTATTTATTCCTCTCTCATATATTACATTCAGACCACATCATGGCTTCTTAAAATAGGGAAAGCTGTTGTATTCATTGATCGTGTAGGACCCTCAGTCAGAGAGGTTAGGTTGTTGCTGTCTTCATGAAGTATAGTGAACTTAAAAAGAGGAAACACAAAGCAAGTAAGCAGCTGTTTTCTTAAAGCCCAGGAACTCCACTTACTCTGGAGTAGCTGTGTTTATTTTTTATTGCTCATATTCTTTATTTTTTAAAGTATTATTTATTTTTTTTGAGAATTTCCTATGAGTACTGTAGTTCCAACATTTCTCTCCTTTCTCTCCTCATTCCAACCCTTCCCATGTACCTTTCACTCCTCATATTGTTTAATTACTATTGTTTTAGACACATGTGCACATAGACACACACACACACACACACACACACACACAACCTGCAAGTCCATTCAGCATTGTTCATGTGTGTGTTTAGGGTCGACCATATGGGACTGAATCACCTATCAGAGAATTTATTCTTAGAGTAGATTGATTCTCCTCTTAGCAGTAGTTAATAGCCTGTATCTTCATCTAGTGGTGGGGCCTTGTGAGAATTCCTCCATCCATCACATCAGATCACATCAGCAGGTGCTATGATTTTCAGGTCTTGTTTATGTGGCCACATTTTTGAGATTTCATGGGTCCAGCTTTTCTCCAGTATCTAAAAGACAGCTTATAGCAGATGCTTTGGCCCTCTGGTTGTTACAATCCATAGGTCCAGCTTTTCTTTCATCTCTAGAGGACACAGCTTGAAGTAGATGCTCTGATCCTCTGGCTCTTACAGTATGTCTACTCCTGAGCCTACATGGAGGAGTTGTTTCATAGTTGTGTCTGTCTGTAATGATCTTCACTCGTGACAGAAAGAACCTATTTGATGAGCGTAAGTTCCATCCAGAGTTAAACATTTCTAGTAAATGCAGACTCATTTGTACTGATAGCTGAAGAAAGGTTCACCACCCGGACTCTGTATTTTCTGTCAGTCAGGGGAGACTTTGCCTCTGCCTCTTTGTCTTTGCACCCCTACCTTTCCCCACTTTAATTTAGTCATTATTACTGATCTTATCAGGGCCAGGAACAGAGGCACTTGCTTAGAATTCTAAAGGCAGACACAGAGACAGAATTGGGAATTGGGGCCAGCCTGACCTACATATTGAGTCCAAGGATAGCTAAGACTTAGTGAAATCCTGTCTCAAAGAATCAAAACCAAGCTAAGGAAAATAGAACAAAAATCTTATCAGTAAGTAGAAATGATTCCTTGAACAACAAAAATATTTAAAATGTACATTTTAAAAATGTACATTTCAAGGACCTGGTAGATGGCTCAGTGGATAAATTTATTTGCTGCCAATCCTGACCGCATGAGTTCAATTACTCAAATCCACCTGATGGAAACAGTGAACTAGCTCCCCCAAATCATGCTATAACCTCCACATATATCCTTCAACATTTACAAATATGTACATGCACACACAAAGGAAATTGAGGCAATTGAAATTTTAAAAATACACATTTTATATTTTTGGTTGTGAGCCTAGCCTTTAACGGCATGGTGGCACATGCCATTAATCCCAGCACTTTTTCTTGTGCTTGTCATCATAATTATACTAAAAACTATTATTGTTGAAATCACACCTACATTCATTTGAAAGATTTTGAATGCTTAGAAAATTAAAACTACATTATTTACCAGAAACACCATAAATCAATATTCTTCTTGACTGTAATGAAGCTATTGTTCTATATAGAAAATATGATGTGCTGGGCGGTGGTGGCGCACACCTTTAATCCCAGCACTCGGGATGCAGAGCCAGGCGATCTCTGCGAGTTTGAGGCCAGCCTGGGCTACCAAGTGAGTTCCAGGAAAGGCTCAAAGCTACACAGAGAAACCCTGTTTCAAAAAAACAAACAAAAAAAAATATGATGTGTAACAAGTACAAATATTTAGTTTTTGGACTCATTTTGTCTAATATTCTAGGATACTCTGGAGCACTGGTTTTCAACCTTCCTAATGCTTGGACACTTTAATAGAATTTCACATGTACTGGTGACCCCCAACCCTAAAATTATTTCTTTGCTAGTTCACAACTGTAATTTTGCTTTTGTTATGAGTTGTAATATAAATATATGATATACAAGAGAGCTGATATATGACCCCATGAAAAGATTGTTCAACTCACAGGGGTCATACACACAGGTTGAGAATCACTGCTCTGGAGTATTGCACAATAAATCAAGAAGATAAAATAAAGCATACAGCCATAGACAGACAGATAACTAATAGATAGGTAAGACTGATAGATGATAGATAGAAAGACAGACAGACAGGGAGATAGATAGGTAGTTACGTAGCAATAGACAGACAAATAGATAGAACTAGATAGGAAATTACAGACAAGAAGACAAACGTATCATTTGTTCTTCAGAGGTACATTCCTTCTGTGTTACGTGGCGCAAAATGCTGTGATGGGTTTCATAATGAATGTATATGAATTTGTGAATTAGTGAATAAAATGTGTGGTCAATCTGCAAAAATATTTTTCTATTAATAAGATTTTAGTATTTTCTTGAAACATACTTTTGAGTTTTAAGAGAAATGGAGGAGGAGAGGATGGGGGATGAAGAGGGGAGTTTTTTTTTGGGGGGGGGGACCAGGAGGTGAGAGGGGATGGTAAACTGTGGTCAGGCTGTAAAATAAATTAGCATTCACTTTATAAGTATAATAATAATAAAAATTGTTTTCATGGTTATAAAATCAAAACAGGAACATTTGACCTTTTTGATGTTTTCAATGAGTATCTCCAATAACGTAAGTTATTAAAAGCAACTTATTTATACTGTTTTAGAGTTTGCTTATACTTAGCTTCTCAGTTAACGAGCTCTGCAGTGTTTTGCCCTCCCCTTCATTTCTGGTCTTCCCATGACTGACCTGGTAAGAACATGATGCCTCAATGTAGATCACTAGTCAAAAGAGAACAGTGACACATTAATAAAACCATCATTTTCTTTACAATTTTCACTCATTTATTTTTAACCCAAAAGTGATTTGGCTGTACAAAGTAAAATCTGCTTTTATTGCCAGCTGTGCCTAAGGTTTCTTTACCTATGTAAAAATCATTTGAAGTCCACAGGCATTTTAACTAGAATATATGTTAGATATTTTTTGAAATAACAGCCATGTAATTTATAGCCTGGATTAGAGCACATCATTTCATGTATGATTTGGTCTGAAAATTTTAGAGGTGGACTACCTTATATTTAAGGAAGCAGAGGAGCTTAAAGTATTTCAGCATTCCTTGCTTCCTTGAACCCCTGGAGATTAGAATGAAATGCCAGTCAGTTCAGACACATTTCTATCAGACTTATTCAGACTTGCCTCTGAATGTAATTTAGATAAATATTTGATTTGAAAGATAGACTTAAAAGTTATACTATACTATTTAAATACTTCTTATTCACTTTAAGTAAACCTTGTATGTCTATGCAGAAGGAAATGAAGTTCTGACTGCAAGTAGAAGCTTACAAAACAGGATCTCCATGAGCAGCAGGGACGACACTGAAGGAAATGTGCTTGGTTTCTCAGGTGAATGTTTCCCAGTCCTCTGCCCTTCCCTTCTCCTCCAGTCTTCCCATGACTGACCTGGCAAGAACATGTAGTTTTATGTAGAACACTGGTCATGATGTGTATGCTTCATGCTGCCATGGACATGTAGATCAAATAATACCACAGGATATATCTGTACTAATGAGGTCAGTGAGAACAGTGTCTATTCTCCATTGAGCCAGGTTTCTTCTACCAAGTACTATCTTGTGGCGGGCATAGGAAAACTGTTTTTAAATTTATTTTACATTCTTATTCAAAAGTGTTTTCAAATCAAACATCCTTCAGACGTCCTTCAACTATTTTCCTGGAGCTTAGGAAAAGTGCAGAGCAATACACTTTCAGGTGTACACTGTAGAGTATAATTTGCATACAAATGCATTTTTACTGAAAAAGATCAGGGCAGGGTTTTAAATATGCTTCTACATTGAACTTTTAAGCATCTTGTAAAATTGAATATAATACAAAGTTTGAAATTCTCTTATCTAACCCATCCCATATAGAATAAGTTTCTGTTTTTCAGGATGTGGTGGTCATATCATTGAAGTTTCTGCAGAGTCACACATATTAAACAATGTTAACAATCAGAGCATTGAATCACTTTCCATGCTCAGGCCTAATCAAGGACTTTCAAGTATTAAATTGTGATGGAAACTTAAACTTGGTAATCTTAATAGGATGGTAAGACTACACAATGTCATGTAAAGCATGGTAGTAAACATAAGGCCAGGTAGTAAGAAACCCTGTCGGAGAGGAAGTTCAGCAAGAAAGAGAACTTAATGCTTTTCCAGGAGACTAGTGTTTTGTTATCAGCTCCCACATTTGGTAGTTCACAAATTCCAGCTCTATTAGATCCAAAGCTCTCTTTTAGCCTGGGCAGGAAGCCATTTGAAAGTTGCATACACTCACACAGACACAAACACATACACATAAGTGAAAAATAAAAATAAATCTTTAAAAATAAAATAAGGTGAAGATCAGTAGAGGAATACATCCTGATGCCTCTTTTATCTCACACATGTGCCTATACAGGCAAACACACACACACACACACACACACACACACACACACACACACACAAACACACTAATGATGATGATGATGATGGTGATAATAATAATAAATAAAAATAACAAGAAAAGAATGCTTTTGGCTAGCAGCATTTGAGGACTCAATAAAGCTGGTAAAGGACAGAAACATAATTATAAAATATATTTACTAATTTGCCTTTTCCTAAGTAATGATAGAGGAAAACACTATATGTGATACTACATACTCCTCCATCAGAGTGGTCTGGGTTACTGGCAAATTTTTAAGAATTAAAGTAAATTCAGAAATTTTAATTCTTGTTTCAAGTGTCTTCTTATAACTCGTGCAGTTCAGTAGTTTACTGCCTATATTGCACACTCCAAAGGCCAATGCACTGGGAAGCATGTCCAAGATGGTTTCAGGCAGGAGTTCCATAGTTCCCAATAGACCCTGTAAATACGGGTAGCAGGGTGGACCCAGAGAGGAAGCCAAAGGCTAATACAGGTTAAGATGTCCAGGATCACGGAGTCCCACAATGGGCATGGGAGGCTGTAGGAAGAGAGATCAGGATAGAGCTGAACTAGGGAAGCATGTGCAGTTGTAGAGACCCATGCCATACAGCAGCAGAAATGGGACCAAGCAGGGGTGTGTGGACCTTTAGATAGCGACCTTCACTGAAGATAGTAGTGAACTCAGGGAGGGAGAATGTGGATACAGCCTGCAGCCCTGAACACCAGTCCCACTAAGAAAAATGACACTTCAGTCCTCCTAAAATTCAGTCCTCCTACAAGCACTGTAAACTTCTACACCAAGAGAAGAAAGGTATCTAGAAAAACAAAAAACAAAAAACCAACCAACAAACCAATGGCAGACATACACATCCCCATGCAGAAACAAAGACAATATAAAAAAGCAAGACAACATATCTCCTCCAAAAATTACTGATCCTATGGTATGAGCTTCAAATGAGAATTCAGGAAAATGCCCAAATAATTCCAAAGAATGCTTATAACTATGTTCAATCAGCTCAAAAGAGACCGAAAGTCACTCCAATTGGACTGAAGCTGAATGAAGTAAGGAAGTCTATTCAAGACATGGATAAAGAGAGAATTGCTGAAGGAAGATCAGAGTGAAATGATGCTGGAAATGAAAACCCAGTAAGCCTAATTAAAGACTCAGTGGAAAGTCTCACCAAAGAAATGGAACATTTGGAGATGTAGCATCAGGGCTGAAAGACAAAGGAGAATAATTGAAATCGTTCAGTAAAGGTCAATGACAATTTGTAAAAAAATTCCATGTGGAACATAGGCTGTGAGGCACTATGAAAATACCTTATCTCTGAATTATGGGCATAGGATAAGGAGATGAATATTATACCAAAGGCATACACATTGTTTATTGATAAAATCATAGAAGAAAATCTCCCAAACCAAGAGAAGAACATACTCATCCTGGTAAAGTAAGACTACAGAATATGAAAGAGACATAATCAGAAATGAAATTCCCCAGGACCTAATACATTTAAAATACTGAAGATACAGAGAAAAACAAAAGGAGGTAAAAGCTGAAAGAGGGAAGAGTTAGGCCACTTCAACGTCAGGCCCATCAGAATAACACCAGATTATTCAATACAAAAAATTTAAGCAAGAGGGGCCTGGAAAGATAAGTGTCCCAAGCATTGAAACAACTATGCTGTGTGACACATTTCCTGGCTGGATACACAGAAGTCCCTATTCATCCCAGATAGAAAACCAGTGGACAGATCCAGCAAAATCCAACATGGAGAACCAATGAGTTTATTGGAGTTACTTGAAGCAGCAGCAATGGCCCAAGGCAGCTACATCACTCAAAGCATTTCCCAGCATGATTGACATCTCAGGAAAGCTGGACACCTGGAGGACACTGCAGAACTTGCAGGCAGCAGGAAAGGGCTGAGAGCCTCTCTTCTGCTCAGCGCAGCTGTTCTGAGTCAACTTGAGGTAACTCTAGCTGTCTCTGCCTCTTTTCAGAAGCTATACTTGTTTAGTATTTTCAGCAGTCCTTACTGCTGGTAGAATCTTGGAGGACGAGGGGCCTAGTGCATCTAGTGAATTCTAGGGATTATGATGTTCCTGAGATGCTCACTTCCTGGTATTTAATGGTCTTCTTTAGAACACTGAATAATACATATCCTTTCCAGCAGCCCATGAAATTTTCCCCAAGATTAGTCACATATAAAGAAAAAATGCTACTGTATAAACTATGAATTATATATAAAGTATACATATGTATTTTAATATATCATATTAATATATGTTTTATTAATATAATTAATATATTATGTACAATATACTATATGATATGTTAATAATATAATAAGATATGTAAACTTCAAAATATAAAATGTTAATACTATATAAACTGTGTGAATTAAAGCTATTCCTAACAATTATAGAAAAATTGAAGTGATATCCTATATCCTATTTTACCATAATAAAATAAAACTCCATGTCAACAGCCATAGAAACTATGAAAAATAAACAAACTCATGGAAATTAAACGGTGTATGGGTGGGTGATAAAAACAATAAGGAAATGTAATAAGTCCTAAAATTTAATGACTATGAAGATTCAGCATATTAAACTGTGGGAAATATAATAAGTCTTTTAAAACGTGTGCAGTGCTCAGTGTCTACATAAAAGAATCATCATAAACTCAAATAAATAATATTCTACCTTAAAGTCTAGGGAACACAAGGGCAAACAAACTACCAAACATTATATAGGGAGAAATTACTAAAGTCAAGACAGAAATTAATGAGGTAAATACAAAAAATATCAACACTCAATAAAGTGTAGCCAGTTCTTTGAAAATAGAAACAAAATTGATGGCCTCAGCACCAAATTCACCAAAAGGAGGAGAGAGGAGACCCAAATTAACAAAGTTAAGAATGAGAGCAGAGACCGTGCAACAGATACCAATTACCTTAAGAAAGTTGTGAACATATACATTAGAAATCTTGGCAAAGCTGAACATTTTAAAAGAAATGTATGCATTTCTAGATCCACATGACATACTAAAGTTAATCAAAAGGAAATAAACATTTTTTGTTTATAAGCAACAATGAGATTAAAGCAGTAATGAAAGTCTTCTGGCTTAGAAAGCCCAGGACTAAGGAAACATTTCAGAATTTAATTAGAAATTCAAGGGGCAACTAATGTCAGTATTTATCAAATTATTCCATAAAGTAGTAAAGGAAAGAAAGCTTTCAAGCTCTCTTTATAAACTCAGAATTACTCTACTACCAAAAATAAAGACACCCATCAAAAAAGGAAAAGAAAAACTACATACTAATTTCTTAAATGAACATGATTGCAAAACTCTCAAAAAATACTCACAAATCAAATTCAATATCACTCCTATATGATCATTTATTATGACCAAGTTAAGTTTAAACCAGTGATTCAAGAGTGGTTCAAAATACATAAATTGATAAGTATGATTTGTCACATACATGGATTCAAAGATAACAATTCATCTGATAATATAAGTAGATGCAGAAAAAATCCTTTGACAAAAATCCAATGTTCCTTCATGATAAAAGTCATGGGAGAATAGGGACAGAGAAAGAGGTTTGATATAATTAAGTTTGTGTATGAAAACCCTATAGCCAACAACATACTGAAAGGAGAAAACTCAAAACCCTCCCATTAAGTTAAGTAAGAAGACAAGAGTGTCCACTCTCTAGCTTCTATTCATTATAGTCCTTGAAGTCTTGTCTAGAGCAATAGACATGAGCAGGAATAGATAAAGAGGAGAAAAGAAGAAGTAAAAGTGCCCCTTTCATAGATGATGTGGTTCTATACATAAAAGACACTAAAAATCTACCAAAAACTCTTACAGCTAACAAACACATTCAGCAAAGTAGCAGGCTGAAAAATTAACATGCAAAAATTAATAGCCTTTTTCTATACCAAAAACAAACATTGAAAAAGAAATTAAGTAAATGATCATTCACAATAGACACACA